GTTCTCCGGGCCCCTGACATTATTGTTGGTTTTTTTAAAAGTGCTAGTGACACCCTGCTTTTATGGGGGATGGTGCTCGTCCTGAAAAGTCTTTTGCTTTCGTTGTGAGTGATTTTCGTTGCAAGTTCGGTACTAGTCCCTCAGGATTTTCCGGGTGTATATAATCAGTATCTCTCCCCCCTGCGTTCCGGGGAATCCCGGGGTTTGGAACCCAAGCGCTCCCAATAATTGAGGGTTTTTATCCCCGTTTGGGGCCCCGTGAAATTCTCTGTACTTTTTCTGGGTCGGCAATTTCACCTGCCTTAAAAGGGTGCTGTTAGTGTGCAGCAATATTCAGCCTAGATAGAAAAAGTGCCCTAAGGTGTATCAGGGGCTTGGCCCCCCATTTTGAAGGTTTCTCATTATCCACCCCTTATTTTTCTAGCGATCGTTGAACAAGTTAGGGCCCTTTGAAGGTGAGACCCTCCGACATTCCTCCCGGGTCTTTGACGTTGGTGTTTCGCCTTTTTTGGGGCTTGCTCTTCTTGGTACTCTGCTTGACAAAAAAATGAAAGATAGACTGCAAATCCCCCAAACAAAATCGTAAGTTTCACCGGGGGGGGCCCAAGAGAACATGTAGGGGGTGAATTACAGCTTGGGATATGTAAATGTTGAAGACAGAGTAAAAAAACTGAAGCAAAATCGTTTATAAAATTGCTCAAAACATGTCCAGAATATCTTGCTGTCAATTTTGTAAGGGTTGGGGAACCAAAGAAATCATAGTACTAGGGGGAGAGAGCACAACTTTGTAGTCCCCACAGTCAGTGGCCAGGCTTCAAACACTTTTATTGTACAGCAATAAAGGAATGGAACAGACTACCCGCACATGTCAAAGCCAGTCATAGCTTTGAACCATTTCAAGAAGGGGTGCCAAAAAGGTGTCTGATGAATGTAGCTACAGAAAGGGAAGGGAATGATTTTCAATTTTTTATCTAACATACGTGTAAATTTTACCTTATTCCTAGTAATGACCCTCGTATTGTAGATAGTCTTAATGACCTCGTGTAGTAGATAGTCTTTTTAGTATGATAATAAAATGTTATCTTCATTATAGAATAATAAGAAAATATTATAACCTTTATATTATAATAATAAGGTAAAAGGACCCCAATGGAAATAAGTCACTCTGTCTGACTTTTTTGGGTTATCCTAGGTTCTCTACACATATGCTGCTATGTATGATAATTCTATGTAACTGTATTTGTGTATACCTGAATAAACTTGCTTACTTACTTACTTACTTACGTAAGACAAGTGTAATCACTTTAAAACTTGTGTAATTGTGCTTATGTGCATTTGTAAGCGTCAACAAACTTGAAGCCTAAGAGCTAGTGCATGGTGCCAAGACCAATTATTCAGGGGGTTGATAATGAAGACAAACGTCCCAGGTGTAGAACACAGGAATTTTTTGTAGTTACTCAAGGCATGGATAAAGCAAGACGACCACACTTCACTAGGGCAGCGCAAAAGACCTTAGGTAAGGTGGACCCCAGACCTAAACACCAACAGAGCCAAATGCCTTACTCCCTGAGTCAGCACATGTGTACGCCATCAACGCTGATGCTGTTGTTGCTGCTGTTGTTTTTGGAGGACTGAGACGTCATATGCCATGAACCCTTGTCTCAGAAGTCTGGTGATGATTTTGCCCAAATCTAGGAGGGTAACGGAGTAAGTTTATTTCGGTACAGGTACACATAAGTACAGTTATCATATATAGTAATATATGCAATACAGTCACAGACACGCAATCTTAACAATGCAAGACAAGCCACGGGGGATGGAAATCAGCTCATGCAAGACAAGCCACGCAGGGATGAAAATCTTCAGCTCAAATACTTTCACAGGTTTCCGCGCATCATCAGGAGCTTTACAATGTTGCAAGAGTAGCAACAGGAGGAATGAGGGGAAGTTTTCTCAGGGTAGGGGAGCGTGGTGACGTAAATTACCTAGGATAATCCAAAAAAAGTCAAAGTGACTTATTTCAACAAAAGAAATATGAATAAAATGTTTCCAATTATGTCAGGTGGAGCCCCTTGCCTAGAACCATGGCGGAGCCAGACGCTTCCACCTCCTGACCAATTCCCAGTGGGCTATATGGGATGAATACGAGCATCCCGGGAAAACAAGGAAAATTTGTTGCTGATGCTCAAGGCAAGGACACAGCGAGATGTCCACACTATGACTCAGTTAAACAAGCATTAAATAAAGAGAATGTTAAGCATACTTTTTTTCAAATAACAGTTTACGAAACATTGTTAGAAAGGAACTAGCACACGAGTTTGAAGAATGTAGAACACAAGGAGGAACTGGCAGATCATTGTCCATCATAACGAAATATGTCATGTTAAACATATCTGTGGAGAAAGTAACAAGAACACTAGCTTCCAAGATGTTACTGCTAAACTCAGGCAAGGCTATAAATTTAACCCTCTGGTAGTACGGTATGTCAGTGACATAAAATGGACAGAGACAAGACCATACACTGGAACACTATACCTTAGTGTCCAAACTTCCAACCTTTCAGAGACACCTCCAGGTACAGCATATGGCAAAACAGCATATAGCAAAAGGCAGCAATAAGAATGATAACAAATTCCCACTCCCGCCAGCATACTCCACCAATTTTCAAAAGTCTGAATCTGCTTACCATTAAGAACATCCATACTTATTCATGTGCCTACTACATACACAGAACAATACACGCAAATGTAAACCCCTCACTCAAACTTTTCCTCATCAACCTAAACAGGACACATGACCACAACACAAGACACACAGCTCTTTTTGATATACCTCGTGTCCATATCACACTGTGTAAAAACTCTATGCACATAAAGGGCCCCAAAATATGGAATTCATTACCAGAAGATATTAAAGTAACCCAGTCTGAAAATCAATTTAAGACTCTTCTCAAAAGCCACTTAATCACCCTAGACTAAATGCTAAATACTCAGTACACACGGACTCATCTATGTACTCCCACATCATAACTGAAACAATCACATTGAACCTTTTATCCATTGTTGACAGGAATATAATTGAATCATTGTTTTTCACAAAAGCATTTTAGAATACAAATACGTATGTCTTTGTATTATACAAATTTTGATTCATTTATAATTGATATTCTACTGTACAACTATGAAATAATTACTTTCCTACTGTACAACTATGATATACTACTCCTTAGTATTAAGTAGAATGTAAGTCAATAATGTTAAGTTGGCCCATAATGCCTAGGCATAATAGAGGCTCTCTTTGTATTGCAGCCCACTATTGTATATACACAATCTCAATGTACTGTTTGCAAAGACATTAAATAATAATAGTCTCTCTCTCTCTCTCTCTCTCTCTCTCTCTCTCTCTCTCTCTCTCTCTCTCTCTCTCTCTCTCTCTCTCTCCTCTCTCTCTCTCTCTCTCTCTCTCTCTCTCTCCTCTCTCTCTCTCTCTCTCTCTCTCTTTTCAGAGCTTTGCACCTGAGAATGTCTGCATGACAGTCTTAATGTTGATGAACAATCTAATGTTATGTGAAGTTTTCAGTAACATCACGCACTATTGTTGCTCTTGCTGTTTTTTCGTGCTTTTGTTGTTGCTCATACTTATTTTTCCTTAGTATTGTTGCTATAGGTGTTTTTCGTGCTGGGGGTGATCATATCGTTTTCGTGGTGGCCCTATTTTTTTGTAGTAGTGGTGTTCTTGTTTATCTTTTTGTAGCGCTGTTGCTATTTGCTTATCGTTTTCGTGATGCTGCTGTTGTTTGTTATTTGTTGCTTTATTGTTACATATTTCCTTAGTTTAGTTGTTCTTGCAAATGTTTTTTTTTTTGTCTTGGGGTTGTTCTTTACTAATGTGAGCAGCAAAGCATACTTGTCAGCGTACTTATGTCCACTTTAAATGCTAAAATCTCCTATTAGCGCAGTATGGAAAAAGTACCAAAATTAGCAAGCAAATATTCTCCCGAAGCAGCTTCAGTCCATGGCATTGCTGGTGTGGAATTATCTGATTCCTTTGAAATCGTAAATGTGACAGGATATCACTTTGCCCAGGTTACTCGAAGGCCACATCTGTCCTCTGATTTCCTTTTGTCTAAATCCCTTCGGGAATCATTATACTTAAGCATTTACTCTTCAGTATTAGGTACATTATCATCAGCAATCTCGCCTGGTCTACAGGCGTGGTAAACATAATGTAAAAGTCTGTCATGGCCCTTCCTGTTCGAAAATCAAGTAGGTTAGGACTCAATCCCTCCCATTAATGACCAACAGCTCCTACTAGTTTAATTTGTAAATTAATGGTTAGTAGAAGACTAGTGTGGTACGTGGAGAAATACAGCTGTATTCTTCCATATAGTTTGGATAAAGAAGCAGCCGTTCTATTATCGATTATCACGTCTTTTCTAAGGTCTGTTTTTGAAGACTACGAGGCCAGCTCCACATTCCCTTAAAGCTTTCATGACAGATCGACATTTTTGTTTCCAGATCAATACAGATTCTCTTTGCTCAAACCGAGGACTTTCCATGAGGGTGTATTCTTAGCACAACCGTGTTTTTATTAATATTTAATGTTTTAGTTTCAGTACTACTACAAAGAATTTGATCCTCTATATGTGGATGATTGATTGCACTAGCACAAATATTCAGCAAGTATCCACCTCCTTAGAGTGCAATCGGTTGTGCATCTAAATGGGTTACTTCACATGGCTTAGAGTTCTCATGATCTAAAACGAACTCTAACATTTACTCATTGCATAGATATTCCCAGTTTCATACTATCCATGTATGGCGTCCTTATCCCGGTGTCAAACTTAAAGCTTATGCCCTCCACTTTGACTAGAATTTCACAGAAATTACACGTGACTGCTATAAAAACGACATGTCTTAGACTAAATTTACAAAAAAATTGTCGCACTTTACCTAGGGGCCGATAGGGGAGCTCTTAGTTTTCTTACGCCATGGGTTCTTTTTATTTTTTATGGTGATCAAGCGTATTCGTCTGCTTTAACAGCAAACGTTTCCTCAATAAAGATTCCCAAATGTTGCACGAGTGTCTCATTCTTCATTAGGGGGATTACCAATAGACTCCCAGCTGTCTTCAAGAGGGAGCTGGACAAACACCTCAAATCAATACCTAACCAACCAGGCTGTGGTTCGTACTTTGGATTACTTGCGTCTGGCAGTAACAGCCTGGTTGCTCAGATCCTAACCCACTTCGAGGCCTGGTCATGGACTGGGCCGTGGGGGCGTTGACCCCCGGAACACCCTCCAGGTAAGGCAGCGAACGTATTACTTATCTGCACGGTTCGTAATCCAGGGTCTGTCCATCTGTCACAGGGATGTATTCCAAACTCTTTTTCAGTTTTAAGAGCATGCGGGATCGACAGCAGCGTCGTTGGTCCAGATTGGAGGACAACAAGTTATTCATTGATGTCGCATTTAGAAGACCAGACTCTCGCACGACTACTTATTAGCCGCATGCTAAACTTTTTAAAAGGATCCCAGTGATGATCAAACACCTGCTGGTCTTGAAGTGTAGATATCTCGCCCGATCCTGCCTTGAACATCAGCTTTGATGGAGTGACGATTGAATGTACTATTTATCAAATAGAGCTCAGAATTTTCGGCCTCGTTTTCGGCACTTGAAAGGGAAAACAGGCCCCTTCTTTCAGAAGGTCTTACCTTCATTTCAGATACAAGCAACTTTTTAACAAACTGATTTATTTCGCTAATTTCGACTTGTCAGCTCAAGTTCATCCATCATACCATTTTCTTTGCCAATAACTCCTCTCAACCTTAGAGTATTTTATGACCTGTACACGTTTGGTACATTTTGTGACTTACTAATAATAAAGTTAAAGCACTGAAATAAAATTAGGAAACCGTGTATAAAACTGACCTGAGGGCACATACACATACCAATAGATGCATGAATTTTGTAATAATGTTGGTAGAATTACCGACAATATGTAAGGTAAAAGAACACAAGTGCAACTAATGTGACATTTTATTGTGGCAACGTTTCGCTCCTGGAGAGCGAAACGTTGCCACAATTAAATGTCACATTAGTTGCACTTGTGTTCTTTTACTTTGCATGAATTTTAATCTAGCTACATTGAGAGACAACACAATAAGTGTCCAGGGCCCAAGATTGTTCAACTGCCTCCCAGCATACATAAGGGGGATTACCAATAGACCCTTGGCTGTCTTCAAGAAGGCACCGGACAGGCACCTGAAGTCAGTACCTGACCGACCGGGCTGTGGTTCGTACGTCAGTTTGTGTGCGGCCAGCAGCATCAGCCTGGTTGATGAGACTTATCCACCACGAGGCCTGGTCTCAGACCGAGTCGCGGGGGCGTTGACCCCCGAAACTCTCTCAAGGTATACTCCAGACAGCTATAGTACAGCACTTTTCAAGGCAGGTGAAATTGCTGACCTAGAAAATGTACAGAGAACCTTCACGGCGCACATAACGGAGTTAAAACACCTCAGTTACTGGGAGCGCTTGAGGTTCCTAAACCTGTGCTCCCTGGAACGCAGACGGGAGAGATACATGATTACATACACTTGGAAAATCCTAGAGGGACTAGTACCGAACTTGCACACGAAAATCACTCACAACGAAAGCAAAAGTTTCGGCAGACGATGCAACATCCCCCCAATGAAAAGCAAGGGTGTCACTAGCACGTTAAGAGACAACACAATAAGTGTCAGGGGCCCGAGACTGTTCAACTGGCTCCCAGCATACATAAGGGGGATTACCAATAGACCCCTGGCAGTCTTCAAGCAGGCACTGGACAAGCACCTAAAGTCGGTACTTGACCAGCCAGGCTGTGGCTCGTTCGTTGGATTGCGTGCAGCCAGAAGTAACAGCCTGGTTGATGAGACTCTAATCCACCAGGCGGCCTGGTCACAGACCGGGCCGCGGGGGCGTTGACCCCCGGAACTCTCTCCAGGTAAACACCAGCGCTGACAATTTGAAGCAGATCGAATGAGGCGTTCTTAAGTTACAAGCGGAAACTTTGGAAGAAAAAAATTCATATATGTATATGAATATGCACTGTATAATAAGTACACAAGGTTTAAGTGATAAATTGATGGTACGATGGTATTAATAGTATAAAATACAAAAGGTTTAAGGGATGCATTTACAGGTGAGCGTAAACTTTTTCTCAATTCCAGTCCGAATATATCTTCCAGTTTCGTAGACTTTGATGTATATTTCAAGATATTCCTCAGCTCACACCTGATTACCTTCCATTCCTCTTTAGGTGACTTGCTGCCTTATTTCTTCCCATGAATATATCACGGGTGAGCGTTAAACCTACATGGTCATACAGGGCCTGAGAATGCAATATAATCGGATTTGATCCAAGGAAAACGTAGGTAGCTCCAACTTCCTGTATCAAGAGCCCTTCACCAGCATCAAGAAATCTCTTGAAGGGTCCCATGAATACAATAACAGCAATAATCATGATACATTACAATGAGCTACAGAGAAGGTTAAGCAAAACTGTTTCAACTATGTGCTTAAGGTTTAATAACAAAATATTTTGTACATAGTTTATTACAAAAATATCGTAACATAAATGATTACTTTAAACATAAACTTGAATGATTATGATTTAGGACAAAATTTGGGTGGGATGATGATGATGATGATGATGATGTAATATGGAGTGTCTGGCTAACATGTGAGATAACTTAACGAATGCAACATTTCACATATAAACCACAAATCAGAAACGAATTGATAGTGATTGACGACGAAGTGAAACGTCGAAGTTTCGTCTCTAGTTTGTGGGTCAGTTGTGCCTGAAATGTCTTCAGTGTGGCATTGAACTTAGCGGCGTCAGTCTCACACACAAGTCTTCAGTGTGACACTGAACATAGTGGCACCATTCCTTCTTTCATGTACGAGATGTCTTCAGTGTGGCACTACACAAGATTTCACACACAATTTATTCATAATAAAGACGAAGAAAAATTATCAGATATTAGGAGAATGAAACAAACCATACCATGGGTGTAGAAATATACCTAGTTGGATGTATCTTATTGAAGCTCGCTGGCCCAGTGGCTGACGCGACAGTCTGGAGCTTTGAGACTCTCTGACCGCGGGTTCAAACCCCACCCGTGATATGGTTTGTTTGCAATCGTGTCATTACGATTTCGTGAGTCAAGTTAGTCGAATGGACGAGAGTGCAGCACTGTGTATATCTCATGCAGGTATAAGAAAGGCACCACTGTTATGCTCTCTACAGTACATACCTTCATACTCAACATTCATTGTTTATAGGCTCACGTCTGTGAGACTGAGCAGGGGTGGATACCAGGCCAAAAGAGGCAGGGACCCTGAGATCAGAGCGAAGTGGAAGCGTCCACTCCAGACACAAGCAGTGCATGCTAGTGTTGACAATAAATGATTGCTGCAGTGATTCGTAACTAAGTCTTCCACAAGTCTCAGTTTATCTTACTGCTTCTTCGCTCTCTGTTCATTACTGTTATTAATGAAGCTGAAGCACGATTCTCTGGTAGATAAGGACACGTATATATTCTGACTGCAAAATATGTTTTTTTTATAAAACGATTAATGAGACTGAAAATTACAAAAAGACTAAAACACAGATTGTTAGTAATCAGAGAATATTGTATATTAAAACTATCTGAAGTGCTCAAGCATAATGCCTTAAAGAGCGAAAGAACCAATATAAGAATCACTAGAGCATTTATTGATTTTGTCACCAAACAGTCCATTAAACACATGACTATCCATTTAAATGTTCTTTTGGTAAATACAATGGAAATTTCACTATTGCACTACGGTATCACGTACAGCAGTGATTCTTGGATGTGCCATGGACATTAGCTTTACTTGCGTTGTGGCATGCGTGAGTCTGGAGGGTGTAAGGCAGAGGTGCTGCTGCACTAGAGGCTCAAAGAAGGTCGCTTTTTGTCCTTTCTCCGGAGCGTCCGCTTGCCCGCTGAGTCCTGCACTACCAGGGTTGGCTTTAGTGTTGGGGACGGAGGGTCAGGTCCACGCCCAATCAGTGACCCGATCATCCTAAACAAAAGACGTTTTATAATATTTATGATGCTTATAGCTCACAAATTGGAAGAAAAACGTGAACTACGTTTCGGTCCGTCTTGGATCATTGTCAAATCTCTAGTGAGAATGAAAAATGAGAGAAAGCTAGAAGTCCAGTCAGGCATTTGGAGGTTGACATTGTACTGGCTGAGGTAAATATCTACACGAACAAAGCCAAGATTAAAATCCATCTTAGGGAGGTTGTATTTACGTACAGATTCAACAAGATGACTTTTGTAAGGAGCACAAAGAAGATTATATGATTTTAGAAGAGAATCAGCTTAGTGATAATTATTGCCCCTAATATTAGGGACCCCGAAGGGTTAATAACCCAGGATAACCCAAGAAACTCAAGCAGGAGGGCCATATTTCTGTTGGGGTTATTAAGCCCTGCAGGATCATAATAATCGATCAACACCTTCTAGGGAGAGCTCATATGTCTTGCCTCGCCTGAGGATTGGTTGGGTGCTGCTTTTTTTTCCCCCTGTTGAGCCGAACGCCCTACTACTGACTATGAGTTATCGTAGACTGGAAATAGAAGTCAGTCACGTCTGTGGACATAACATCAGAGAGGAAACAGAGAGCTTGATTCAACGTTCGGCGGAGGTAGAACAGTTTTAAAATATTCTATACAAAGGTTAATTAACAAAATTAGGGGATATGGAAGGGCCCATAGCAACACCAAAAAAAGAGAATAGTAGTTACCTTGGAAAGAAAAGAAACCACATACAAATAGGATCAGGAAAAACGTCAGTAGGAATGGGGGAAATTAGTAGCCTCTCAATGAACATAAGTGAGAAAGGCGAATATTATCACTAGTAACAATGGAAAAGAATCAGTCTTACAGATGGACTATGTAGTCGAACTCTTTCGTTTAAATCTTGTAATAGAGGTGAACAGAAAAAAAAACATGAAAATGAGAGCAAAAGGATGAGACACAACGTCTGTAGAAAAGCACCAAGTTTATGAGTTTTAGAAAGTCCATAAAAAGAGTATAACAGCAGCGACTTGATGATCCAGGACGAACTGCAACGTCCTTCAATTTTCACTTTCTATTTATGGGCCAACTGTGAAATGCTCCAGCCACATTACTGTGACTTTTGTTAAGACTATTGTTTTTAACGTCTCACTATCCTTACCGACGTATTTTGCAGTTATATAAGCAGTTCTTATTATATGTAGATTTTTTTATTCAAATAATCACTCTGGTACAAAGTCTTGTGTCAGTCCAACTACATAAACCCGAGGCTTCAAGATACAAATAAATACATACGATAACTTTACAGAAGATTTTATAGTGGACGCTGTTGCAGTAATTCTGAATATTCATAGAGGATTGAACAGACCTTTTATTTATAAAGTTTACGTTATTATAATCGAAATCGGGTACAGAACTTGTATGGATCATACGGCATGCAAAGTGAACAACCTCCTAAAATGAAAGACAGGTTTAGGAGAGGACAGAAAAATGTATACTGGTGTTGTGTTCGCGCTTTGGGCTGCCTTGATGCTGCAGAACTTTTGATCTAAGGAACTGGAGCTGCCATTCCCTTACATCAGACCTGATTACCTCCCGTTCCTCACGCGTTGTATAATCCTTTCGGATTTAGCTTTGAGTTCAAAGCTTTAAGAAGAAGAATAACAATTAAATAAGTGTTATCACCTGGAAACAGCGACGATGGAGATGCGACGTTGTCTGGGAAGTGGACGAGTGAGCTGAAGTGATCTAGTCTCCCTCAGGAGTGCCTGGAAGGCCAGGGTGACACCAACGTGGCTCTCTGCAGCACTCACCTCGTAGAACTGACACCCGTGTTGCAGAGACAGGGCCTGACCTTCCTCTACCGACACCTGCCAGTATAAAACCTTGTTAGCACAGTGTTAGATAATAGTTGTTTTACACTTGGTGGATGCTTACAGTTTCACATATAGAATTGCATATGTTTCGTATTTATAGTTTCTTTCTGGTCTCTCGTGGAATCAACGTAGTTTTAAGAACAAGTGAGTAAATTTAAACTAACGTTCAAAAAAAAAAAAAAAAAATCAGTACTCCACTGTAAAAGCGTCTTCAAGTGTGATAGATACTTAATTACCTACATGTATGCCACATACCTAACAGATAACCCATCCACACAACCACTACAGATTGTGTGGATGGGTTATCTACTGGGGTGTGTGTGTGGGTAGGTTATCCGCTGGTGCAACAGCCCAGAATATACTCCTCCCAGACTATACCCGGGGTTAAAGTGGGCTAGCCTGTTTTATACCCCGAGGTATAAACTGGACTAGCCCAGACTATACCCAGGGTATAAAACAGGCTAGGCTATTTCATATCCCATACGCTAGATTATACCCCCTACACACTATGAGAGTTCTGGTTTGAACTCAGGGGTCTGGCTAAATTATCTTAATTTAAATTAAAAACACATGAATGGTGTGAAGTGTCTGCAGAACATCAGGGCTGGCCGAGTCTGGAAATGGTGCTGCATCACTCTCGTCGGCAGACTTCAGGTCAGCGGGCAGCTTAGCAGTGCGGCCATACATTACTTCGAAGGGCGTGCACTTCGCTGAATCGTGGATTGATGTATGATAAGCAAACAAAATGCCTTGAATGTACTGATCCCAATCATCGGTTTGGTCGCTGACGAGCTTACTCAGTGGAGTCTTGAGTGTCCTGTTGTTACGTTCCCATTGGCCGTCTGACTGTGGATGGTAATGCTGAGGCTATACGGTGATCCGTCTGGAAACGGTCCATAAGCAAGCCAACAACTTTGTTTACGAATTCACAACCTTGGTCACTGATAAGGCTGCCCATTCAGCCTAGTCGACATACAGCAGAGTAAAGGAACTATGCCACTGGCTTCGCGCTCTTGTCCGGAATAGCTGTGGCTTCAGACCACTTGGAGAAATGGTCTGTTATGGCGACGATTTACTTGTTACCACTTGTAGTTTCTTGAAGAGGCCCAATAATGTCAATCCCAACCAGACTCCAGATCTTGGCAGGTACAGGTATGGGGTTGAGTGACGGAACTTCTTTGCTGACTTTGGGATTACTGACGAAACACTTTGGACATGCCTTCACATATTCTTGTACATCGTTCTTCATGCCTTTCCAGTAACATCGCTGAGATATTTCACGGAAGTTTTTATCTCTTCCAAAGTGTCCTCATGTAGTTGGATTATCATGACAAGCTTTCAGAATGCTGGGCACACGGGTTTTGACAAGAACCTCCTTGTCTCCATGGAAGAGGGTTCCACCGTCAGCACGAAATGGCTTTGCTGTTTGACGAAACAGAGACTTTGCATTCACACGCTTGGCAAGATCCAGATCATAGATATGCTGAGGATACGTTCGGTCAGCGCTGGTGTAGAAGTTCAAAATCTGGTTGTACAGGTAATCATCCATGATAATTATTTTTTGTGAAATTTTGAAAAAAATATGACTAAAACTGAATAATATGTACACTAATTACAGGAAACACAGAACAACACCAGTCACAACATTCAGACACAATGATAGACAAAAGCAAGAGCACCAGTATATATACATGACCCCGGTCTACCCTCTGATGACCTTCGTAATTTCTTTTATATTTGCTATTTTATTTTTTAACCTCTCTGTTTAAACTTAATTATTGCTGCCTCAAATTCTTCTCCCCTCTTTTTAATCTCCTATCAATACCTTTCTTAATCCCTATAAGATGCTTGATCCAACCTTTCATCCATTTTGGGTTATTATTTTTGGATCTGAATTGACTTCTTGAAAAAAACACAAGGAGGTATAATCTGGACAGGAGAGATATAGTCTGGTCTAGCTCAAAATATATAAATTATGACGGAAAAATTCTGGACACTGAAATACAGATTTATTTAAGGAAAACACAAGTGGATTAGAAAGGTATATTCTGAGATAGTCTGTTTTATACTCCGGGGTATAAACTAGACTGGCTCAGAATATACCCGGGAGTATAAAACACAGGCTAACCAACTTTAACCCCGGGTACAGTTTGACGGGGTGTTAATGTGGGCTGATATGCCTGCAATAGTGTGTTGGGGGGGAGGGGTTGTTTCCTGGGGTGGTGTGTGGGGGTGAGTTGTCTGCCGGGGTGGGTGGGTGTGTTGTGTGCTGGTGTGGTTTTGTGTGTGGGTGGGTGTGAGGAAATGGGGGGGGAGGGTTGTGTGTGCTAGCGTGGTGTGTGTATGTGTGGGTGGGTTGTGGCTCACCTGCCTGCCGGGGTCAAGGTCTCGCTTATTAGCCAGCAAGATAGCGGGGACGTAAACGGGCGCCTTAAGTCGCTGGAGGGCGTCAAGGATGGCCCCGGCTTCGTGGAAGGAGGCGGCGCTGTCCACTGAGTACACTACAACGAACCCCTCGCCCCAGCGGGTGTGTGACGACGACACGCTCTCGTGCGCATGCTGTTAACACAAAACATTTACAACACACATGACACTCCAGTAGGTTTTACTCAAAGGTAAACAAATGAAATAAGATGGATGAAGTGACTGAGCCAAGGTCCATACTCATTTTCAAGAGTCGGACGATGATCAAGGAAGTCAGGAAGAAGTATATACCGACCAATTTTTGAGGTTATGAGGGTCAAGGCGCTTATTCTTCCATCCTCCCCTCAACTGGTCAAAAATTAAGAGGCAGAGCCAAGAATTAGAGCTCACTTTACTTATTCAAAGAAACAATTACACATCCACACACAAGATCATCAACAAGTAACTGGAAACGGGAAGACTGCAAGACAGCGGCGTAGCCATGGGAGTGAGGGAGTGAGGGAGGGAGAGAGGGAGGGAGGGAGGGTTAAAGGGGTTAAGCTTGTAGAGGTAAATACAGTGGTACCTCGGTTAATGGCTAATTTTCACTATTGTATTGACCAATGACTACAAAGGCACGATTTTTTAACCCCCCCCCCCATAGTGAAATCATGGCTGCGCTTCAAGACACATGGAAAACAATAAATGTATTATTACTAATATATAAGAATACCTTACACTTGCTGTCACTGTCACCTAGCAGTAAGTAGGTACTTGGGTTTTAGTCACCTTACACCTGCTGCCCATTATGTGCCTCAGAAATCTTTGACTACCGCCCATAGGATGGGTAACGGGTGCCAAATATATTAAACTAGCTATAAGAAGAGGTGCAGTTAAGAGTTACTTAAGTAGGTCAGTATCACTAACGTGCATAATACATAAAATACCGGAAAACATAGATTGGTTATAAATGACCATAATTTTTAAAGGGGTGGACCGGTAAGCCAGCGGAAGGCCTCGGTCAGATGACCAAAAGCTCCAAAGGCGGGTCATCATCTGACTAAGACCCGCGTCAGGAAACATTTGTCCTGTTTCCTGACGAACCTTACCTAACCTAACCTAACCGGAAAACATAATTAGGAAGAAGTTGGTGGCGAGGAAAGCTCATATACAGCTTCAAGGGCAGGTATGACAGGACTCCAGTGGTTAGGAGCAAACAGCGGTCGATACTGAGTTAAGACGGAGTCACGAACCCACATTTGACCCCACTGACTAACCTACAACACTACGAAGAAACTAACAGTGCTTCATCTCTCCCTTGTCCATCCCACTCTCTCTCTCGTCCTCGTCCAGCCCCTCTATCGTCCTCGTCCAGCCCCTCTATCGTCCTCGTCCAGCCCCCCTCTCTAATCCTCGTCCTTCCCCCCTCTCTCGTCCTCGTCCTTCCCTGTCTCGTCTTTCTCTTCCCTCACCCTCGTTTCAGCGGTTTTTGTTTTTGTGAATATAATGTTAATTTTTCCCTCCCCCTCATCCTCTGACCTCCATTCCTCACTACAGCTGATCTACCTTTAATCTCAGGGCCTTTCTGCTACCCGCCGTCCTCATTTCCTTCCCTCATCACTCCTTCCCTGTCATGTAATCCGCAAATTATACCTTCCCCTAGAAGTGAGCACCCCCACCTTCCCCCGAGAGCAGAATATACCTTCCCTTACCCCTCATCGGGGCTTCACCCCTAACTAGTTCACCACAGCATCTACAAACCCATCCCTTATAAGGGGCACGTAAGTTCCCCCGTCTTCTAATAACATGTTCATTTTTCCACTATAATTTACCTTGTCCATGATTATTATGGCATTTGCTTTGTCTGTTTCATAAAGTGAAGTCCAGGATCTTTCCTTAATTCATGGTATAACTTAACAAATCTTTGAACACAATTGTCTTCAAAGACCTTCGCTCAGACCTCTGCAACACAACTGTCTTCAAAGATTTGTTAAGTTATACCATGCCTAGTTGATCAGGCCCTGATCCATCGGGAGGCCTGGTCATGGACCGGGCCGCGGGGGCGTTGATCCCCGGAATAACCTCCAGGTATGAATTAAGGAAAGATTCTAGACTTAACCTTATGAAAAAGACAAAGCAAATGCGATAGTAATTATGGACAACGTAGATTATAGTGGAAAAATAAATATATTATTAGAAGACGGGGGAAACTTACGTGCCTCTTAACACAGCTCACAACACCAAATCCACCAACCATTATCGCTAAACACCTACCCACTCTCTCCTCCAACCATTTCCACCCATCAGTGTCGACTCCTTGAGCACCTTGTGTACCTTGCGTACTAAGTACTACGGAACAAATAACAATCAAGGATTCCAATGGAATTAAATCACTTCAGACTTTTTTTTGGATTATACTAGGTAATTTACACTATGTGTTATAAATATACTTACGTGTACCTGTGCCTAAATAAACTTAATAGTAAGGGGAGTTTGGAGGAAATGAGAACAGAAAACAGGGAGAATAATGAGCACATTAATACTAACTGGACCTGTTTACCCATAGTAGTAATGGCAGTCATCTTAAATCTCCCACTTAACATCGACCACCAGATCATGATTACAAGGTCAGCACAGGGCCAGGGTGGCCACTACACAGGGCCAGGGTGGCCACTACAGAGGAGACGGCAGTGTGTGTGCATAGAGTTTAGAGTAAAACTACTGATTACTGTAATTTTTATTTTTTCCCACAAGGAAAAAGACCACAAGAGACCACAAGAGACCATATGAGACGGGAACATTTCTGGCAGAGGACTAAACTGACGGATGTGGAGCTGCTCAACTTCATGAGTCTGTGCATCTTAATCATAAGAATGGAACAGGAAGACCTCAAAGACAAAAAAAAAAAAAAAGTTAGACAAGGACAAAAAAAAAAAAAAAAGCAAAATGAAGGAATACATAAATGTTCCAAAAGCTAAATGAGGAAAAGTAAATCATGGATCTATCTGAAACTAAATTAGATCAATATTTCTCATCCTCTTAAACCAGCTAAATCAGAACTCCATGTAACTTCAAGTAAGATTATTATCACTCGCATGATGAGTTATTTGTTAGTGATGTAACTACTGCATAATCATTCAACTAACTTTCAATGAAAATAGTCTCAACTAAAAAAATTCAACATTTTGTTTTCCTAGTGTGTGTGTGTGTGTGGTGTGTGTGTGTGTGTGTGTGTGTGTGTGTGTGTGTGTGTGTGTGTGTGTGTGTATGTGTGGGTGTGCGTGCTTGTGTGTATGCATATGTTTGTACGCTCGTGTGCATATGTCTGTGCGTGCGCCCTCGTGTGTGTATGTGTGTGTGCGCGCGCGCTAGTGTGGGGTGTATGACCCGCTTAATATTTGTATTTATAACTCATTACAATTGTGACCAGGTGTGGACGTATCAGTGGTTCATCACTTTGTAATTTGTTCATAACTGTAACCATGTATAGGCGTGAGGCTGATTCATTACCTCTGTAACTTGCCATCCCCTCAAGGAAGGTTCCTTTATGTTGGTGAGGGGCTCTTGATTTAGGAAATTGGATCTGTGCTCCAGTTCCTCGAATTAAGCCTGAATGCCTTCCACATCCCCCCCCCAGGCGCTGTATAATCCTCCGGGTTTAGCGCTTCCCCTTGATTATAATAATAATAATGTAACTTGCCATGATTGTGACCAGATCTACCTGGAGTTCATTACCTTTGTAACTAGTTCAGCTATCATAACTTTGGGGTCCAGTCCCTGGACCCATTATTTAACTCTGTAATCTTTTGACTACCGCCCACAGGATGGGTATGGGGTGACTACCGCCCACAGGATGGGTATGGTGTGACTACCGCCCACAGGATGGGTATGGTGTGACTACCGCCCACAGGATGGGTATGAGGTGCATAATAAACATATTAAACTGTAACTACTTACTAAAATTACTAAACTAAAAATAAAAAGTATTTCAAATGTTTGTTAGCCTAACTTAAATCTACATAAATTATCACTAGTGTATTCCTATAACATGTATGTATTTATCGCAGTCGTTGTATAAATTTATAATATACATTCCAAGGGACGTGATAGGTCCATAAGTCTCATACACCATTCGGGAAACAAGTAAATAGGTTTGATCCAAGGACGGGGAGGACAGCTGCAGTTTCATTGGTAAGAAGCCCTTCCAGCATTGACTGTTAGGAAGCCCTCAAAAATGAGAAGTCCTGGGTTCGAGTCCCTGACTGAGCGAAACTGATAAGCAAGTCTCCCTATACCCTCTGTCCCTGTTAACGTGGCCGCAGTTATATACCTAGGTGTTAGTAGATTATTATAGATGGCATCCTGGGAGAGGATTAATGACCATCAGGGGTTGAGAAATACCAGGTTGATCGACTGTTGTGGGTCGCAGCCTAAGGAAAATCACAATTGTAAAGTAAAAGGACACAAGTGCAGCTAATGTGACATATTATTGTGGCAACGTTTCGCTCTCCAGGAGCTTTGTCAAGCCGTTACAAACAATACGTGGATACAGAGGGTATACATAGGCCTATGTATACCCTCTGTGTCCATGTATTGTTTGTAACGGCTTGATAAAGCTCCTGGAGAGCGAAACGTTGTCACAATAATATGTCACATTAGCTGCACTTGTGTCCTTTTACTTTACATATTGTCAGTAATTCTACCATCATATATACAAAATCACGATTGGTATAAATCATGCTATGCGAGTCTGGTAGATTAACCTAGGTTTAAATTAACATTTGGAAATGTATATTCTTTGATGGAACGGCCTTTACCGGCATCCTGCACTACCTTGAAGGATTAGACTATGAACCTTGTAAAAACTTACCTGACGTAGAGATACGTCGAGGATCTCCACCTCAGAAGTGACGTCGTCGAGGCAGACTGTGTGGCGGTACAGGAGGTCAATGGCTCGTCGGTATTCACTGATGTACCGCCGCGTCAGGTACCGCACCGTCAGCGCTGTAACACAACAAACATGTACCACTGTTTGACAAGACGTATAACGTGGAAACGAGAGAGTGATTGGGAAACGCTGACCAGATGTTAAGTCAACACTACAAGCTTCAGCAACACTCATCCTTACTGTTATAGATATGACATTCTGAGAGACAGTGATCACCATTTCCACGTGTGTGTGTGTGTGACCCAACAATCAATATTTGCACCAATAATTCATTACACTTGTGACCGGGTGTGGGCGTGTGAATTGCTCATTACTCTATAATTTGTTCATGATTGTAGCCATGTATAAACATAAGTAAATTTACAGGATTCATTACTTTTGTCAGGCGCTGTATAATCCTCCGGGTTTAGCGCTTCCCCCTTGATTATAATAATAATAATAATCATTACTTTTGTAACTTGCGAGTTCATTACCTTTGTACCTAGTTCAGCTATCAAAACTTTGGGGGCCCAGTCCCTGGACCCATTATGTACCTCTTTAGTCTGTAAATACCTTTGTAACTTGTCATGACTGTGACCAGATCTACCTGGAGTTCATTACCTTTGTAACTTACTCAGCTATCGAAACTTTGGGGTTAAGTCCCTGGACCCATTATGTACCTCTGTAATCTTTTGACTACCGCTCACAGGGATGGGTATGGGGTGCATAATAAACATATTAAACTAACTTCCACATAACAGTAACTCCATCTCTGCTGGACAGCAAACCTTTAAAAATTCCCACAGCTGCTGAACCATAGTAGAATGGCTGACAATATCTTCATAACCCTACTGAAGTCGCCCAGGTATGGCTGACCACAACATAACCTCATATATCCCACCAATCCTATGTGATAGAAAATGCCCTAATCTACATGTAACTATCATGGAGGATAGGGCAACTGCACAATTTTCCAAATAATATAACAGAAAAGTATACTAGAGGATATTTACACACATTACGAATAGTAATGGTCCGTCTGATCTTTGGAGGATCACATTCGTTACCGACTCCCATCCTAAAACAACTCTTCCCTCCCAAGCAAATATCGATTTTTCAAATGCGCTATGTAGGTTAGGTTATATTAGATTCGTTTATAAGAAAACTACATTAATGCATAAATAAAATATTTCATAAATACATTGTGTTAACGGGTGTTTTTTCAAGTTGTCAAAGACACTTGTCTATAGACACTTGACATCTTTGCTCCCTTTTTTTTCTGTGTGTAGGTTTAGGTGTAGGTGTGTGTGTGTAGGTGTGTGTGTGTAGGTGTGTGTGTAGGTGTGTGTGTTGGTGTGTGTGTAGGTGTGTGTGTGTAGGTGTGTGTGTGTAGGTGTGTGTGTGTAGGTGTGTGTGTTGGTGTGTGTGTAGGTGTCGTGGAAACTGTCAAGGTTTGTAACAACATGGCCATTCTTGAGCAGCAGCTCCTGTAAAGAATTCACATTTAACAAGTTTCTTCATTTGCACATTGATTACTCGTCCTGTCTGCAACTGCGACCATGTCAGGAACTGTCTCACGCCGGCTTCCTTAATAGGAAAACATTCTGTAATGTCACAGATAAACTGGATCATGTAGTCATGGGTGACAAACCATGAGCTAGGTAACGATACTGCAAAAATGACTAAGTAAATGATAAAATTCGACGAAACAATTGTGTCAGGTGACCAAAAAGTTAATTGGGTCTTAGACCTTGAGCTGAACTGGAAGCTTAAATAGGTAACCACAAAATAACATACACAAGCACACATGGGATCACAAGTCAGCTCTGGGACACTTCATATTTAGGCTAAAAAATTATGTCAAAAAATGTCTCCATCTACTCTGAAAAGCCGAAATATTCAACAATAATATATATTTTTATGGACTTTTCATATGATTTTTTTTAAATATATGTAAAATATTTAAAAATATAGAAAAATGTGCTAAAACACATTAAGTAGTTCAGAAGAAAGAGGGTTTAGTTTCAGCAGTTTAAAACAATTACGTAAAGGATTAATCACAGGACTTCCTTAGGTGGGTGGATATGTGTGTTTTTGTTTTATCAGTTGTTAAACGCCCTTATCGACACACGCTTGGTGTTTATGTGTGCGTGCGTCTGTATGTGTATGTGCGCGTTTGTAAGGGCAAGTGAGAGACTGTGAGAGGGGGGGGGGAGAGGGTGAGTGGGTAAGTTTCATAGGGTGGGGTAGTGTCTGCTCTGTAAACACAGGTTCAACCACCTGTAAATATAAGGAAGTGAGATGGGGGGGGGGGGAGGAAGCTGAAACTAGTGGGGAGTTGATGAACAATGGGGTGAAGAGACAGGTAGTGGTGAGGAGACAGTAGTGAAGGGACAGTCAAAAAGTAAGGACGGGACACAGGCTACTGATGGGATACGATAATTTTTTGTTTCAAAATCGTGTTTTTGTTCCTTTATTGCTAAATGGAATAAACGTTTGTGCTGTGAGGAGCAAGTAAATAATTATTATAATTATAATTATTATTATTTATTATTATTGAGAGGATATGAAATCGTAGGGGACACAGAGCTGCTGGGAAATGGGCGGTAATTAGACTTTAACTAAGGTACGTTCCATAGGTTAAGATCCCTTCTCCAGCATCAAGGAACCCTCTTGAAGGGATTAGTTTTAAGAACTCTTCCTTCGGTGTTCGTATCTCGCATGATCCCTAATTCGGCTTGGGGCCCTGTAACGTAGTGGAATTTGCTTATAGGGTTCAGACCGGTCCCTAGCGTTCCAGCGTAGGGGCCAAATATTTACACTTACGTTCACTTGTTTAAGTGTAGAAGGAGTTTGTAGACGACCGGTGTTATCATCTACACAGGAAGCCTCTCGTGTAAGAGCCTCGTAAAGTAGATGGACCAGTCTTATTAGAGACTTCTGGAGTGCTTCACACAGGCACTGAGGAGATGGCTCCAACTTGTTGTATGTGATGGTGTGCCATCACATACAACAAAAATAACAGCAACTAACAAAAATAACAATCATAATATTATATTAAACCCATAGAAGTCATACAATGACTCGAGAATGAGAAGTAAAAGGTATTGTCCAAGGAAACGCAACTCAAAAATTGGCATCAGTTTATATCCTCTCTCCCCTAAATTAAAGGAAAACATGATACATGACGCTTGTTACACCCGGATGTGTCCGCCTGACACATGACATTGCTCAGCAGATGGCGAGGTATATAACCATTGACTACAAGGACTAGTGAGTCTCCGTCTTTCTCAGTAATTAACTACTGGAATATCGCGACAAGAATCTGTAATATACATTTTTATTAAGCCTGGGTGAGTGCGGATGCACGTAAAATTACGTCCGGAAGAACTGAAAAAATTAGCAGTTTATTTTCCGTATGTCAAGAAGAAAATCTAAAATAACTGTGCCGCACACATTATTGTATTTATATGTGGATTTTGAAGGTGACGGCAACGTGATAGAGCTGTGTCGAGGTTAACACGATAGTCCGCTCATGTACCTGCTTAGTTACTAAAACTTTCTGACTGAAGTAACCTTCTCCTTCCTCTTATCAAACTACCCGTATGACCTGTACGTGTTTAGTGATTCCCTGTGGTTAAAATGGAAGAGATAAAGTACCAACAAATAAAAGAAATGTAAACTGGAGCCAAGGGAGCCTTTACTGCAAGTGTCGTTATATACAAGTTTTACTGTGAGCTTGACATGGTTACATGTAGCTCAGTGGCATTGCACACTGTTCACAAATCAACGAATACTGAGTTCGATTCCCGGATTGGTCAAGTCGAACTCTAGGACTGGGGAGGGGAGGTAAAAGTGGGAAGGGGATATACTAATGGAAAGTACTTTACCTGGTTAAAAAAATAATATATAATCTCAGGGAAGAGATAAACCCGTAGAAGTCATACAACGTCTGTAGAATGGCAATAATAAAATTTGATCAAAGGATCAAGAGCCCTTCAGCATCAAGGGCCCCCCTTCCATCCAATGAAGGGTCAACTGTGTAAAGAAAAAAAAAAGCCCACTTGAGCGGCACTTGAGAAACAAGGTTCCTGCCTTGCTATATATTGTTGTTGTTTTCTGACTGGCTAAATTACCATTAAATTGTTTATTTTGTTACAAGGAAGGTGGGTCGTGACGCACCTTCCTCCAGGCGCGCCCTCACAAAGTCACATTCAAGGGTTATAATCAAATACTTTAATTACCATCATAAACAACACATTCCATATATGACGGGTTTGCCAACAAAACATTTCACGTAAGGTTTATGCCATGATTTTTTTTATCTTTACTTCCAGCTTATTCTATTGATGTTTACAGGACCCGGAAGTGTAAATAATTATTATAGTGTAAACACTGAGATATCAAGTGGTCGTCTGAATGATAAACATCAGTTTATTACATTCTCGTCTTTTATGTTATTCACTGAGAGTATAATTGCTTGTAACAAGGAAGTTAAAAGCTGACTGTACAATTATTAGAAACGTTATCAAGCTAATTATAAAATTAAAAATAAACTAATTTCTGCGTGTCAATAACAAAGATATTAAAACTAACAGGTAGTATTTTCATAGTTAAAAGAATAACTAAAATAAAAGTATATATCTAGCAAGCTCCCACGAATCCGGGAGAGAGACCATCAGCCTGGGTAGAGAATATAAAGTAGGAGTATGTCCAGTGGGACCCCATAAGGAGTTCCCACATGGCTCAAGTATATTCACTACCTCGCAGAATTTCTAATTATTTAACGTGCTAGCCAAGAGTCGAGTCCTGGCCCTTCAAGAATGTCCTTGTTCTTTGGCCAGTCATGTATGGTTAAGGATAGAGCAATAACGAATAAAAGACTAACTTCAAAGCGTGAATAATGTTAAATTACCACTTTCAAAATCGTGCAACCTTAACATATTCCATATATATATTTTTACACGTTTCAATGTGTATATGCGTACGTTTAGAACCATATTTTCCTGTCTTCCTTCCTGCGAGGTGTTGCGTATCTTGTACTCCACCCAGGATATACAAAAGACTCGTCATCCCG